ATATCTAAGAAGATATATTCACAACTAAGATTTTTTTAAAGGATTATAAAAGAGAATCTAGCTTATAAAAATAAAAAAAAATTGTCCAATGATGCCAACAAAAGAAGCGCAAAGACGGCAAAAATTAAAAAATCTATAAAAGATGCTCAAAGCGCCACAAAATTGACAAGAGGCATAAAATGAGCCCACTTAAAAGCAAGCTACTCTCTATTTTTAAATCTTTTAAAACTTAGAAGTTTTGGTTCTCAAAGGCTTGATCTCGATTATCGTACGATTGTGACAAATCTACCTTACTTCATTATTTTATGAAGATATTTTTCTTACGTCAAGTGGTAGATGGATTCCTTTTCTCATATCCAATTAATTATTTGAGTTAGGTCATTGATTTCAAAAGACGATTCTACCCTAAGAAAACGTTTTGAGCTAAGGGTAAACCATGAACGGATATTCTACTATTCTATGAATTAATGAGATTGGTAACTCATTAACTCACAAGTTTTTTAAATCAATCACATGGAATACTATATCATTGACATGCCTTGATTAAAAAAAAAAAACATGCATTTGCTATTTATCTTTGGTTCCCTCCTTTTTGATATGTCAAAAGGGGGAGAAGTTTATGAGGTTCCTTTTTTTGTATCGATCCTGAACTTTTACTACTAATTTATTTTCGTAGTGTTTGTCATCATCAAAAAGGAAGCGATTGTTACAAATCTACTTTTCATGGCTTATGTTTTGATGATTGACAAATATTATTTCTCTTGGACTACTTGTTGCTTCTAACTTTTCAGGAATTGAAGATCGGACGATCAAGAAGGAGCCAAGTTCAAGATTGCGTATGTTTAGGGTTGAGTCAGTCTGTACGTTTGATTTTCACCTTTTGAGTCTACTTGTAATGGTCAAAGAGACTGATGCTAAGTAACCATACACACACACACACACTTGAGAGACTTAGAATTTCTGTTTTTGCCCATATCGGCCCGGCCGATATTTATATCGTCCGAGATGATAAGCTTAAAACAGAAAGTCTAAGTAAGGATTCTTAATTAAGGCAGCCGTCATTAACATATCGGCCTGGAAGATACATGTATCGGCCAGGACGATAAGCTCAAAACAGAAAGAAGTAGTCGCCATAATCAATTAAGGTATGCTGTATTTTTAAATTATCAGCCAGGACGATCCACGTATCGGCCTAGACAATATTCACAAATTACGCCTTAATTGATCAAGAAATCAAGGGAGTAATTAAGGATAATTGATACGATCATATCGTTCTGGACGATCGCAGGATCGGTCAGGACGATCCAACCAAAAACCTTAAGTTACTTCAGGATGATAAGTATCGGCCAGCCCGTATCCAGGGCTATTGTCAGGACGATTTTCCTCTGATTTGAACTGATCGGCCAGGACGATCAAGCCAATTTTCAATCGTCCAGCTTTGCATCCAAGGCTATGCTCTGGCCGATCTTCATTGATTTGTACTGATCGGCCAGACCGATGTCCATATCGGCCTGGACGATATTGTCGCAACTTGCAATTAATGAGCTCCTTTAAAGCTCTTCTATTTAAGAGCTCTTGTTCAATATTTTTAAAGACCTTTGACTGCTGCCTTGACCTGAGAAGACCTTGAGGAGAGAAAGAGAGAGAGGAGAGAGAGAGGATCTTGTGAGGGGGAGCTTGTGAGGGGATTCATAAGGGTTGCTTCAAGGATCACTCTGCTTCGTCTTCGTCTAGAGTTTCTCATCCGTGGAAGGGTCGGTAGAGGTAAGGAGTTTGCTTCTGGTTTTGGTTCTCTGCCAGCTTAAGGAGGAAGCAAAAGGAGGTAGGTTCTCTGCCTTGTCGGGGTGGCAAAAAGGAGGTTCTTGTGAGGGCTTCTCCGCCTAGCCGTGGGGGCTAAAGGAGAGTCACATTTTGTAGTGCAATACTTGGAGGGTGCCTCCAAGAAGTGGACGTAGGTCGAGTCGACCGAACCACTATAAATTCCTGTGTTCTTTTTCTTACTTCCGCGCTTTTAAATTCCGCATTTATTTCTGTGGTGTGATTTGGTTTATGCAATTTTCTTTCTTTGTGAAAAGAGTTTTTAAAATACCAATTCACCCCCTCTTGATTAGCTTGGGACTAAGTTCAAAGGGCTTAACATCCCTAACGAACTTTCAAGTGCCATATGAGCACTTTCATTCTTCTTGTCTCTTGGAAAATCGTGGCTAGTGTTTAATGAGGGCTGAATTCTATGCTTAAAATTCATTATGGAATTACTGTTTTTCGATCCTTGCCTCTTGGATCTCCGACCGGCTGCTGGTTTTCCCTTGCCTCGGCTCTTTCCCGAAACTGTGGCCCCTTGGTTCCGTGTGATCTTCTTGGCTCCCGTGGATGTCTCTTCGGGTTCTTGACTTTGGGCTATTTTTCCGTGAAAAGCAGTTGTGTTTTAATAAATTATGATGTTTGGAATTATTATGTGGCTCTTGACATTCCTCTACCATGCCTATAAATAAGAGAAGATGTTGTGATGGAAAAGGGAGTTGATTATTTGAGCATATTTGCTATTGACCTGCGAGTTGTTGGAAAAGCTTGCGAGCTTGTTACATCCTTCTTTCTCATCCCTTATGGAAATCCTGCAGGCTCTTTCCACCCTTTTTCTTGGCTTCTAATCTCTTTCGTCTCTCCGCAAGTGCCACTCCATCTATATCCTTCTTCTTAAAGTAAAACAACTTTAGGGTGTCATATTTGGGTAGATTTGAAGCATCTGTTGAAGAGATTTGATAATCTTGCAGTGGTGGACCATCTGTTTGCTAGTCCTATGCACTTTTCTTATTTAATCAACAATTCGATGCATTTGAGGAACCCGCTCTGACGGTTGTTTGAGGAAAGCGTCTTTTTAATTTTCTTTATTTCCTTAAAATCTCATAGTATTTATGGTTGGGTTTTAAAGTTTTAGTTGTCTTCTTTTATTTTAATAAAGTTTGTTTTAAGTTCTATCCATTGGGATAGTTTCTTTCTTGTGTGTCTACATCATGATGGCAACACTAGAGAGGTCAGGAGGGAATTGCCATTAGTAGTGGAGCCTTAAGGTAGTAGCATTAATGCTACTTTGGTGTATTTCACTCAAATGATGGCGGCTATGACACAGATGATAAAAAGTACTCAGACTCAAGCAGTAGGCAGTGGAAGCACTGTGATGGACAAGAATTTAAAGTTATTTCAAGATATGAAGCCACCATCATTTGTGGGAGGTGGAGCTATAGAGGCGGAGGATTAGTTAATGAAGGTTGAGAAGATTTTGTAAGGAATGCTATGCCCTAATGATAGAAGGGTTGCCTTAGCTGTATATGCCTTTAATGTGGAAGCAGAAAGATGGTGGAAAAGTCAATTAGAAGAAACTTTTGAAGGAAGACCTAGCAGTCAAGTGACATGGGAGGAGTTTGTCAAGGTATTTAGAGATTGTTATGTACCAGTGATTGCTAGGAGGTCAATGCAAGACAAATTTAATAGATTGGTGCAGGGAGATAAGACCATTACAGAGTATGAGGCTGAATTCACAATGCTCTCTAGGTATGCCTCTCATTTAATCCCAAATGCTGAAGAGAAATGCCATCGCTTTTTAAGTGGCTTAAGGGATACCATTAGGCAACCATTAGTCCATTTTGGCATTGAGGATTATGTTACCTTGGTTGAGAGGGAAAGAAGGATTGAGAGTGATTTGCAAAGTACTCAGAGGAGGAGAGATTTTCAGAAGAGGAAGATTGAAGATAGATCAAGGCCTGCTCAATCTTTTCAATCTAGAAGGCCTAACTGGAAGAAGCTCAAGCCCAACACTTCAGAGAGCAGCACTCAATCTATTTTATGCAATAAGTGTGGAAGTTCTCATAGGGGAGAGTGCCTTTCTGGCACCAATACCTGTTTTTGGTGCCATCAATCATGACACATGGCAAAGTCTTGACCTATCTTGGGACAGAAGTCTACTCCAGAGGCCAGAATAGGTAGTGCTCCTCAGAGAACAATTGGAAGGCCAAGGATGGTGGAGTCTACTGCATCAACTCCAACTCAAGGCCAAGCTCGACAACCTGTTCAGCTAAGGGTTTATGGTCTATCCCCACAAGAAGCAAAAGACTCTCCTAATGTTATCATAGGTATGGACTTTATTTATGTTAATGAATTCCTTTATGATTTATGAGTAAGATGAGCTTTATGTTATGTTACATATATGGTATTTAGGAACAATCTTTGTATGTAACAAGCCTGTTAAGGTGTTGTTTGATACGGGAGCATCATATTCTTTCATTTCGAAGGAGTTTGTTATGTCCGTTGATTTGTCTTCCTTATTTATGCTCAAATATTTGTCAGTTTTGATGCCTAATGGGAGTCAGTTGGAAACCAACAAGGGGTGTCATGTGGAGTTGATTGTAGGTGATAGAAATTTGGGTGCAGATCTTATGTTAATTCCCTTAACGGAATTTGATGTGATCCTAGGTATGGATTGGTTGTCTTGCCACTTTGTGAGCATAGACTGTAACAAGAAAGAACTGAAATTTTGTATGTCAGGGGAGAAAGAATTTAAATTCATAGGGGAAAGAGTCATAGCTTCCATGATAGTCTCTTCTTTAGTGGCATACAAATTGTTGAGAAAGGGTTATGAAGGCTTTTTAACCTATGTTAAGGATGATCACGGCTGTCGATCTTCAGCTCATTTGATAGGCATGGACGGTTGGATGTCCGCATCATGAAGTTAGAGAGGCTTTAAGGAAAATGAAGTGTGGAAAAGCTATTGGACCTGATGATATCCAATAGAGGTGTGGAAATGCTTAGGATATGAAGGAATTTCTTGGCTTACTAAACTTTTTAATATTATTTTGATTAGTATATATATTTTTTGTATTGATATAATTGATTATTTCATAGTTCATTTTGATTGTGACATTTGCATAAGCAAGAAATGTTCGATGTTAACACTATAAAATGAGTTGGAATTTAAAACATATTATCCTGCGCAGGAAGGTGGGCCGACAGCTTTCTTTTAAAGATAATTTGTGGAGTTATCCCGGTTATAACATGCAAAAAATGACTATTACACCGACGGGTAGATAGTGATGACTCTTTATTGATTTAATGAAGCCACGTGTAATGATAATTGATTAATTAGATAAGTGATAATTGATATAACTGATAACTAATTAAGAATAAGTTTAGATAAAAGACGTTGAAAACATCATGTTAAAACTGGATGTTTAACTCGACCAAATCATATATTGATACATGCATATATTGATAACACTGATAACATTGATAAATACATTAATATCATTGACAATATTGGACCACAAAGATGTTAATTAGTACTATAATGGTGGCCATAGAGATGTTTACAATCACATGATCATGCAAAGAAGAATATATATCATACCAATCTTGATATATGTTGGCTAATTTTGTTTATTCTACGACATATAGTCTTGGGTTTGATTGGTCCAATAAGGCATTAACTTAATGTAATCAGTTGAGTCCTATAAATGGAGGTTGCCATGTCATCCTAACCATGATGACTTGATGAGCAATGACTAAGTTTAGTTGACTCAAAGTTGGTTTCAACTCAGCTCTATTACATTACATGGTTCACCTCATAACTTCTGCTTATCTTTAATTTTGGAGTTTTTTTATGATACCTATCAACATGAATACAAATATGTACAGGACATAAATTCATTAATATATATGTCAATTTGATCTAAGATAGATTTATTTCATCCAATTCATTCTAGTTTCTTAGCTAAAATTTAATATAAATTAAATTTAACTAGATAGTTGGTTCATTGATTCAAATATTCATGCTTGCAACTTTTTTTTTTTCAAAAACCTCTGCAAGCTCTAATGCATTCTAACTAAGAAGATGATGATAGACTGAAGTTTTAGATGCCAATTGAACCGCTACCTCAAGTGATGGGCTGTTAGTTATATTTTCTTATAATGATAGGGGAGTTGATATAGTCTGTTAAGCTCACGCAAGGGCACAACCCAAGCATAACATATTTTGTTATTCTATAGCGTAATAACCTCTTTTTGTGGAAAAAATATAAATAGACTACTAATTTCTCTTGAGAGAAGGACCCAAGCAAGAAGAAGAAGAGAAGATTACGAGGGAAGAAACTCCTCCTCAACCCCCACCGGGATTCTGCCGACATCTACAGGATGCCGGAATTTCGCCCAACTTTCAAGTGACGGCGAAATTCCGCTAGACTTCCAACTGACGCTGGAATTCCGCCCAACTACCAAGTGATGCCAAAATTCTGCCCGACTTCCAACTTACACCAGAATTATACCCGATCTCCAAGTGACTTTGGAGTTTTGCCTGAATACCATTTAACACCGGAGTTCTCCCCAACCGTTGACTATTTTCGAACTTCTACCAGACGTCATACCTCCTCTTGTTGCCAGATTTCTACCTAACGTCAGACTTATATCCATCATTAGATTTTCATCGGACATTTATTCGATGCTTGATTTCTATCCATTGCTAGATTTCTACGATAAATAGTCCTTCTGATCCATGTCGTCAGACAACGGTTCTTCCGACCTTCGTCGCCCATCGAATATGGTCCTGCCAACTTATGTCGCCTTCCAACTACGATCCTACTTTTATTCGTCGCCCGTCGACTAAAGTTCTTCCGACTTACATTACTCAATGACTACAGTCCTTCCGACCTATGTCACCCGCCGACATGATCTTCCTGACTTACGTCGCCCACCGACTATAGTCCTTCTGACCTTCGTCGCCCTCCGACTATGATCCTTTTGACTTTATGTCGTCCGCCGACTACAGTCCTTCTAACTAAACGAACACGTCAACAATGACTCTTTGTATTCCTTTCATATAATTTACTCCATATGATGTACATTAAGCTAAGGCCTTCTGTAGAGAGAGTTGCTATTTGCATGTTTTATATTCTTGCAACTTATATTATTTTGATGATTTCAAATATTATTATTTTTATATATCTCCTAACACTTTTTGGAAGTTTTATTTTTGCTCTAGTATGTACTAACACTTCAGGAAAATCAACTCCAAGCGATGAAGACTTCAAACTATTCATTTGTAAATCATAAGTTTTTAAATGAAAGGGAGTGATTGTAATTGAGTGAAAAATCACAACACACACTCTTAGGAGATAATTTTTGTAAACTGATCGTACGGGACGAACCTGATTTGTACGGGACGATCATGTCAATCAACCCCTCAAGAGAGCAATGGATTGAACGTGCGAGGAGAAAATTTTCTAAGTCCTAATCGTCCAAGACGAATTTAATATTCATCTCGGGATGAACTTCTCGGGATTCTCTCTTGCACTGTTCGTCCAGACGAAAAATAAGATTCGTACCGGGACGAAACTCTCTGTATGAGATCGCATAGGACCAAATTAATTTTCGTCCCTGGACGAAACTCTCTGTATGCGATCGTACAGGACGAAATTAATTTTTGTCCATGGACGAAACTCTCTGTTTAAAATCATCCCAGGACAAAACCTGTTCGTCCCAGGACGAACTGAACCGACTTACGTCAGTTGGTTACATCCTGTAGAATTTTTGTGAATCGACCTATGTAATAACTGTTTCGTACCGGACGATGAGTGTGTATGAACATAATTCGTACCAATATACATTAGGTTCGTTTCAGACACTTTAAGTAAAATCGTCCAGGACGATCCACGATTGTACGGGACGATGCACGATCATACAGGACGATCCACTGCGTATAGAATTTAAAACTTGCAGTTTTTTGGACGGTTTTTCATATCCTTTCTATATAATAAGTCCTAGAAACTATTACAAGTACCTTTGGATTTGTTTTATCTTGAGAGGGATCATTGAGTGTGAGAGTTTGGGAGAGATTGTAAGAGTGAAGAGTGGGAGATCAAGTGAGGGGTTTGTGAGGGATTCAAAAGGTTACTTGAAGAAGAAGATCTCTTTGTTTCTTCCCATCTCCTCTGAAGGCTCTCAAGTGAAGTTCAACAACATCGATCCGGTTCTCTGCCGACACTTGGAGAGTGTAAAAGGACGACAAAGTGTATATTTGATAGTCATTGTGTCTTCATTCTTTTTGAGAAAACTAGAAGAGAGAACTTGAAAGGGAGAGAGGAAAGGGTGGAGTTTGAGAGGGAGAAGATCCTTTAAGGGGATTTCAAGTGAGTGTGGAGGGGATATTCGCACGGTTTCTCCAGCGAACTTGCACCTCAGTACCATCAGATTCAAGGGTCGTCTTGAGGGATGTTTTGGCTAGAAGAAGATCTCTTTGGTGTCAAAGAACCCGGCTACTCCGCCGCACCGGAGAAGGTGAAAGTGATTTTGTACATGCTTCTCTGTCTTGCGTTGGGGGCAAAAGGAGAGTCACTTTGTGGTATTAGTGCAATACTCGAAGGGTGCCTCCGGGGAGTGGACGTAGGTGAAGGTTTGACCAAACCACTATAAATCTGGTATGTTCTTTCTTATTTTTCTTCCGCATTTAATTTAATTGCAAGTTGTTTACTCTGATTGAAAAGTTTATTTTTGAACTTTAAATTTAACTTGCATTAATAATTAAAAAGGTTTTTTTAAAAATTCAAGAATAGAAGTATAATTTTTAAATTACCAATTCACCCCCCTCTTGGTTAGCCTTGTGACATTAACTTATGTTTAACAACCTATTCACTAGACTAGACAAGTGGTATCAGAATATTATTTCAAAATCATAAGTTTAGACTACTTTTTGAAAAATGAGTATGACTAATTTTAGAAATCGTAAAACTTTAGAAGGATATTCGATTGTTAGACCACCTTTATTTGAAAATATTTTATTTAATTTTTGAAAAATTCGAATGTCTACTTTCTTGCAATCAATAGATTAACGAATGTAGCATATGATTAAAAGTGGTTATTCTGTACCGTCACGTATTA